TTCTTTGCTTTCGTTTAGAAATTATTTAATTAGTCTTCATGTTTAATATAATTCAAAGTTTTTGAAAAATTTGTAAGTTTGAAAATTGAAAAAGTTATTGACAGTTTCTTTTGAAAAATTAAAGTGCATGACTTGTACCTAACTGTAGGTGTATATTTGTAAGAGGCCAATCGTCTTCAAAATGTCAAATCAGTTTGTATAAACAAATTCGATATTAGGCTAGTTTTTGGAAGTAAGCAGTTGAAATAATTTTTCTAAATTCCAATGTTTTCTTCTTTTTGTCCACAATACCACAATCACACTTACAAGATAGATATGAGACACTATAATGATAAAGTGAATATGTATTTTTTTTTAAATGCTGAATGCTAACTTTTGAATCAGTTTAGTGTCAGTTTGACAGTGAGACTGAGGTATCTACAAGCAATTACTAGCAGTACTTTATCTATATACATTTTTTATTGTGCTATTTTGTACAGCACAATGCCATTACCAACGATCCTTGAAGGGTATGGTACAACATCTATATATATAAATTGTGTATAAATGTAAATATTATATGAGTTTTATCAAAAGCATGCATGCAGTTTTAAATAACACTTCTCTATTGAAATGTTTGTTTGTGTTATTTAGTATTGTTGGTCATTTTTTGAGTATTATTTGTTGTATATAGATATACTTTGATTGTTTGATCTAATTTGTAAAATTGGTACATAACAAACCGTGTAATCGGGAACTGCATATACGGGAGCACCAGTTGCTTCGCTGGGGAAAGGTACATGTACATCAAACTTTTCTTTGGCATGTTATATGCATCTGATAAACGTCGCTTCACACTGCTTAAAAGAGGCATTTTTAACCCAAAACAAATACAATTTTCCAGAGAGGTTTCTTCCTTTATGTTTTTTTTATAAGAAATGTAACAGTTGTTTTTCAGTTTTGACAATGTTTTAGAATTAAAATGTATTGAAAGTTTTAAGATATCATTGCTTATATATTTTTTTTTTTTAATTTGTATTATTATTATTATTATTATTATTATTATTTTTTTTTTTTATTTTTATTTTTTTTTTTTTTTGGGGGGGGGGGCTTTTGTTATGAAATGATATCCGTAGCTTTTTAAAATATCTTTTAATTCAATGTTACAAATATTAAGTTTTTCTGACATGCATTGATGTTACAGTTTCTTTGCCTTCATTTAGAAGTTATGTAATATGTCTTCATGTTTAATAGAATTCAAAGTTTTTGAAAAGTATGTCAGTACCATAAGTTTAGAAATTTGAAAAATCTATTGACGGTTTCTTTTTAACCAAACAAATTTCCAACAGAGGTTTCTTTCATTATGTTCTTGTATAAGAAATGTAACAGTTGTTTTTAGCTTTGACAATGTTTTAGAATTCAAATGTATTCAAAGTTTTAAGACATCACTGCTAATATTTTTTCGGGCAGTTGTTATAAAATGATATCTGTCGCTTCTTCTAAATATCTAATTCAAAATTACTAATTACTAATTTAAGTTGTCACACAAGCAGTGGTTTTACATCTCCTCTGGTTTCACCCACCTGAATATGGATTCACATATCACTAAAATATGCAAATCGGCCTATTTCATGATATATAATTTGAGACGCATTCGAAAATACTTTGATCAGGACAGCATGAAAACTATCATGCATGCATGTGTTACTAGTAAACTAGATTACTGTAATAGTTTATTGTATGGATTGCCAGACTCACAGATTTCCAAGTTGCAGCGGGTCCAAAATACATGTGCACGACTAATTTGCAGCCTCCCAAAATTCTCTCGAATAACCCCACTTCTAAAGGAACTACACTGGTTGCCAATTCGCCAGAGAATTACATTTAAAATATTATTGATAGTCTACAAAGCTCTAAATGGTCAAACTCCTAGTTACGTTACTGAATTGTTGCATATCAAGTCTCAAACTCATGGTCGTAACCTTCGTAGTACACAAGACACATTTATGTTGCAAATACCCCCATATAAAACCAAAGTAACCCTCGGGGACCGGTCATTTCTCTGTGCTGCCCCTAGATTATGGAATAAATTACCACTAGAAATAAGGAAAGCCCCATCACTAGATAATTTTAAATCAAAACTGAAAACTCACTTGTTCATATAGTATGTATAGCACAGCATTTACAAGCTCTTGCAGCGCAATAGAATATATCCACATAGTTATTGCGCTTTACAAATGAATATTATTATTTTTTTTATTATCTAGAAATCATTTAATTGGTCTTCATTTTTAATAAAATTATGCACCATACGTTTGGACATAAATCTATTTTCAAAACTGTTCTTCTTCTATTTGTATATGTGCCTGTGGAAAATGGAGAGATACTACCATTTCCCCTCTCATCCACAGTTTTTTTGTTTTTCTCTTATGGACTTTTTAATTTATCATTTTACAATTTTTTAAAGAAAACGTAAGCATCTGGGGTGTTTACCACATGTCGTACAAATGCTGAATAAAGGATTTTTGCTTCCAATGTCCTGATGACTGCTTGTTCATTTTTTAATATTACGTTTACAATTTGTTGTTTTGTATATGAACATGAAAACGTATCTGTTGATGGTCTGTGCCATTTCTCTCCAAGATTTATTTCAATCTTCTGTCATTCTTCTCCTCTTATTATTCTGCTTTCATACAAATGAATTCATTACAAGGGTCAGATTGCCCTTTAAATTATCAACAGAGGGCCTACTCATACAACATTCTATGTATAACGATATCATGAGGCATACAAGGCATCTATTTATCGGAAGCCCCACTTTAATTGGCAAGACATTTCCTTGTCTTTCGAGCCATGCCGACAAGGTAGGGGGCACAGCAAAAACAAACGATACTCCACTATAATGCACTATTTGTTCTATTTTTTCAAAATACATGTTCAGCAATTACCTACATTACTTTCTTTAATGCTTGTTCTGTTTTGTATAATGAAGAAAACCTCCTTCCTAAGGTCGATTATGTACTTGTGATATTTCAACAATAAATAGCTAAAGAACCAATAGTATGACAACAGACACATGAACCAGATAACCCCTATTCCCTCTCTCTTCATCTCTCTTTCTCTCTCTCTCTCTCTCTCCCTCAGTCACTATACTCTTTCCTATCTCTCTTTACCATTCATTGTCTCTCTCTCTCAAAAAAAAAGCATATCATGATCCACTTCAACAGAATGATGAAAGATTTTAAATTACACAATCTTCTCATTTATCCATATCGAATATCAAATAAAACAATGACCCAGTTTTTTTTACACAAATGTGTTCACACAAAAGTGACATAAATTTATTATCCTTGAATCCTTTCCCTTCTTCATATTCATCATCTGTACATTATAATTGCAGTTGAATAAAGTAGCTTTAATAATCAGGAAACAAGATGAGACTCAAATACTTGTAAACTGAAGGTTAACATACCAAAGGACATAATAAAAGAGGCTACAGGAAGATAACGTTCACATTTCCCTACAAACAGGTATCTACTGATTAGAGACTTTAATAAGTATCATATATAATAAGTTTTTCCCTCTCTTGAAAGGACCTTGGATTTTTCAACTTTTAACGATATTTGCCCACCTATTTATTTTCAGCACCCAATTTACTTCTTGAACTGAATCAGTATATTCTCTTCTTTCTCCACACATTTTCCTACAGATACATCAAATGCATTCCAATAGCTTACCAACTGTTCAACTCTTGCCGCTACTTATCAGTACCAAATTTCATGAAACTTGACTATGGAGCTGAAAATCAAAATAAATTGATGGAAAAATATACGTCCTGCATATTGCCTGTTGAGATCCAGAAGACTGTTAACTCGATTAAAAATATATAAGTTAATGCCCTTTTGGCTCCAAATATGCATAATGCACCTTGTCAGTAACACTCAAAAGAGCTTTACAAATACAAGTACATATGTGTTCCAATAAGTTCTGGAATTGAATAGCAAATCATGAACAATAAAATGACAATTGAATGTGCACAATTGATTCTCAGTGACGGAGATAGCAAACTAGCCCATGCTTTCTGACTTGTGGATTTCATCTCAATCACTTTCCACCTTGTACTTTCCTGTGTATCTAGGCAGTAGGCTCGGCTTGAATGTTTCCCCTTTTCAGGCTTTTTCTTGTTACATTCAATACATGTCCAGTATGTGACAAATACAAATAATAACAATTTCTGGACATGTGTAAGTATTTTTAATTTATTCAATAATTCGTAAAGAGCCATCAGTTTTTCATTCAGATAAATTTTGTGAATTCTTATTCTCAGAAATCAACATAAGAGCTCATTTCTGATGATCAGCTGATGAAAATAAATCCTTATCCCCCCCCCCCAAAAAAAAAAAAAAAATCGTACCTTAATATGATATGCTGTAATTTTGTTGTTTTTAAAATTTACAGTGAATTGAAATTCATTTACATGTACAGGTCTGTATGGAAAAAAAGTCTGGCATGTGTACCCATAGTACCACTGCTTTCAAAAATGTATGGAGAAGAGAGGGAAGAAATAGAAGGAATTGGAAAGGATTCAGGTTACACTTTATGTTACCTATTTCTGATATGCACCTTGAAGAAATACATCTTCATATGACATTTAAGCCTAAGTTTTGTCATGATACTCAAGAAGCTGTGTTTATAAACATGCCAAACCATTGGCAAGTCTCTAAGATTCTAAAATAAGCTCCATGTTACTGCAGTGAACAACTACAATACATGTGTATGTGGGTTTTTTCTTCAGGAATACACACTATACATTAAATTCATGAATGCAATTTTGTCTTCTCTGTACAGTAAAATGTTAAAGGACTTGTTATTTTTGGAGAAAAAGAAGATAACAATATCATGTAGGGTCGAATTTTGATAGTTTTGAAAAAGGGGACTGGAATATATAAATAGATGTTGTCTTCTTTTTTCCTGTTTCCTGCAGTCACAAATCAACCATGATTATGTACATTCAGCTATACAGTGTGTCCTATTTCCCTCGGCTCCAAAGACTCCGCCCACTTCATCGTCTTCTCGTACTCCCATGCTCTGCAGAGGGCAGAAGAAAGAAAGACATCAGACATTAATGGAAATAAAAATGAATGAGATAATTATAGCATGGAAATTTTGAGGAATGTAAAATATTGACACTGTCATTAATTTGGATTCTAAGCTTCATGGTCCCCCCTCTAAAATTTAGTGCTTATGTGGAAATGCCTGTACATGAAAATTTACTAGATATACAAGTGGAGTAAAAGACAAGAATGAATCGACACCTAGGCCCCAGGTGTTCTATTGTTTAACGTTTATCCATCATCCCCCCTTCCCTCTTAATGACTATTTGTACCCTTTCAAGGATTGGCTACATCCCACTATCATATAGCCTATCAGATCAGCTCGTTTGTTTTCTGAAAGCTATCAAAGGATTCACAAGACTGACACCCTATTAGACCAACATCTTGCAAAATGTCAGTCGCAAGGCCTTTTGGTATAATAGGATGTCCCAACTGGGATCACAAGTGCTATGCCTATTATCAGCAGTAATATCGTCGCTCTCTGTAGTTTATCCTTTCTTTCATTTGTAAAAGATTCCTTAGTATTTCCCTGCAAGTATCATATGAATTTTGTTTTTGGTAGTTGAACAGAGTGTGGAATAATAAAGACCCAAACTTGTATGGGGGGGTGGGGTGGGGGGGGGGGGGGGCATGTGAACAGTAATTTATTTCTTACATTACCGACCAAAGCAAATGTTTTAGTATCTCTCTTTCTTGCATCATTGACAGCCCTACTATTCCTTGGATCAGCGGAAAAACATCCCAAGTATAATGATACTTTTGATGTGAATCATGCATAGATATCCTGGATAACTTATGCAACACAACAAGACCAAATTCCTTGAACTTCCCATAAAAGTATATAGTTGTTTTTAATCTCACCTTTTGAACATACTGTGGATTAACAGCTATTTCTTGATCCATGCTCTTGAGCTTCTCATCTAGACTGATACAATGCTGCATCTGTGATTCAAAATTGATAATTTGAAATCAAAACATGACAGAGTTTAAATGCATTATCATGGATTTGGAAAACCACTTTAACTCAAACTCCCTCATTGCTCAGATGAAAAAGGGGAAATAATATGAGTTTATGTTGTGACAGTAATTAAAATGAAATAAACTGTTTTTTTCTTAACTGATCTGTTGAAAATTTACAATTTTAAGAGCTGTCTAGACACAGAAATTTACATCTCTCGCAGTTACATGATGTAATTCTTCACAAATAAAGTTCATTTTTACATTTTATACAAAATGTCCTTGAATCAACACTCTTCATGCAAACTTATTAGTATTAATAGCCTTATCCTTGTAAAAGAAATAAGAAAATGCCTGCAGACCTTTAAGTCTTTATATTTTAAATACCATACAAATAACCTTCCTGTGCCAGGCACCTTGAGTTCATCATGGGATATACCAAAGGCTTCAACATCATTTAACTGTTTCAAGTATAAAACCCATCTATACCCATGTTAAAAAGGGTTGCCATGGGGGTAAATAACACCCAAAATTGGTATTTTTCAAAACCATACATATCAGTGATGCAAAGGAAGCAAACAAATCACAGTATTTGTTCTAAATTAAAGAGAAAAATCTTATGAAGTAACTGCTCCGCTTGAGGGCTACGGCTATAATTTTTTGTTTCAGATAGGTAGAGAAAACTTGACTAACCTGTTGTTCAACATGTCTGAGTACTGCAGGGTTGTCATATTTTTCTGGGTTGTCATGGAAATGGACCATTCCATTCTGTTTGCTGATAGTTGCATGAATCTCACCATCTTCAATCTGAAATATATTAATCGTATTTGTTTATTACAATTCAAAGTACAAACATATCTCTTTGTAGCACCATTAATTTCAACCCAAAAAATTACACTACCGCTGTAAATTTACACTTCAATCTAACATCCAATTCCATCCCAATTATCAGTTTAAACTGAAATTCAAATTCTAGCTCTGATTGTTTCAAATCCATTTTCATCAAATGATCATCCACTGTACGTCTTTAGTCAGGTACATGTACATCTTTATCTATCTTCATTTCGATCCCTGGACCAAATTCCAATTCTAGAGCAATGCATATCATTGTAAGTTGCTTTGTAACCACTCAACAAAACCTCTCAAAAATATTTAGTCATCAAAATCAAAATGAGAAGAGAAAATAAATGAGAAACTTAAAGACTTTTGTTGATTGGTATTGAATACAGTTGTATAGTCCTGCAAATCAAATTTTCTCGAGGGGCAAATTTCCCTCGTAGGCCCCATTTTCATTTCATCACTCTGGTTTTCCTACCATATTTCTGACATACTGCTCAGCCTCTTGCGGTGCATGTAGATGAACTCTCCTGGCGATGTCATTCAGAGATAATGTTAGGAAGGTCTGAAGAGAAAGATCAGTACTGACAATGAACATCCCCTACTCTACAACTCCATCTACACATCTACTTCACTAGTATGTCGCCCTCTTGTGTGGCAATTTAACTCAACTGCATTCCGCGCCTTAGAATCTTTATGGCTCCAAAGTTCATAAATATCTATCATGTATACATGTACATGAATAAGACATTGTTAGACAATTGCTGAAAATAGAAATCTTTTTTTTCATTGGTCATGGTTGAGAATGTTTAGTGACGTGTAATCTCAAAATTAAAGAGGGCAAGTTTTCATAATTCCAAAATTATTTGTATTGAATCTAGGCAGTTTAGACCATCTACTACACTTACAAAATAAATTTTAAAAGAATTGCTATTTTCCCAATATTGATCAACTGCACAAGAGATATTTTAAAAATTATTTTGTGGTAAAATTTTGGATTAATAGTGCCTGACTGCACTGTAAATCAGGTTTAATATTGCAACACTCATCTCCCAAAGACTTGGCATGGGAAGTGTTAGAATTGAAAGGGGGTGGGGGAGATTGGAGTGCCTTCTGGATGAACAAGGCCATCCAATGAGGGAAAATAGAGAGAGTGTGTTTGTGTGTGTGAGTGGGTGGGGGTGTATCATCTTCTTTTTATGTTGCCTTCCCCCTTTTCATTTCTTTCTCGCACTTTTTTGTATTCCTCCTTTTCTTCAATTTTCGCTGCTTTGTCATTTGACAAAAGAGTGAGCAGATGTAAGCTTACTCAATGCACCCAGGCTTTTTAAAAGCTGTCCAATAAATCCACTTTTCCTTTCAAGATGCTGGTCAATAAATCAGTGAATGATAAAATAAAAAACAAAACAAATAAACATTCCAGAAATCCACCGATCTAGTCAAATCAAAAACTGAAAAGAAGGTACAAAGTCAATGCTTACTTTTGTAAGTCGCTGGATATTCTTTCGGTATAGTGATGACACCACTTGCTTACCGAGGCCCATGTTCTGGTCCTGTGAGGAGGAAGATAAGGAGATCGACATTGTATTACTGAACTAATAAGAAATAAGGTCAATGATATGGATACATATTGTGCCTGCTTCCTTTTGGCAGCAAACACAAGTTTTTTGGGAAAATAAAGACGTATTATACATGTAGATAAATCATTACCTTGCATTAATGACAAATTAGGGGATATACAAATACAAATAAATTGTGTTCATGTAATTAAACAAAACTGAAAGCTTAACAAGGGAAACGCTCTCGGCGGTCTCGCCTGCATTCCGCAATTCGATATCATGAAAAATTGAGATTCGAACATTATTTATAGGCAGGCACCCCCCCCCCCCCCAAAAAAAAAAAGAAAAAATAAAAAATAAAATAAATAAATAAATAAATAAATAAATAAATAAATAAATAAATAAATAAATAAAAAATGAAAACCTCTGAATATAATCAGCATTTTAGAGTGAATATTGGCTAAGAATCATCAGAACAAATATTTACTATAATTTGTAACAAGATTGACAACTTAAATGGAATTGGAATATGAACAAATAATAAAAATTGATTTATTAATTTTCATATTAAGCTGTGAAAACATATTCCAAGTCTACTGACCTATATAAAATTCAAAATCTTGATGTTGATACCCCAACAAAGTCTAAGTTTGCAGACCTTAAATTACGTTTGACCTTGACTAATCAGGTGATTGGTGATACTTGATAATGTTCAAGTTTCATGGAATAGGAATGTATACTTTCAAAATTATGATCAAAATTCAAAATCGTAATCTTTTGTTAAGTTTTGATGTTGATGCCACAACATAGACTTAAGTTTGGTAACCTGAAATGACCTTTGACCTTAACTTAGTGACCTCAAATTCTACTCACATGATTGGGGATAATTGATAATCCTTTAGTTTAAGTTTCCTTGAATAAGAACTTATACTTTCAAAAATCATATTAAAAATTCAACCAGAACGTCAATGACGTAGCGCTCATCCGCATCTCGCAACAACAAATATCGTAAATTTTATGTGGTACACTTTTGAACTGGTCAAAAAATAAAAATTTGATGCCCTGGAAGGGACATAATTTTATTTAGCTGTACAAGATTAAATAGAAACTAAAGGAAATCGAATGAAAATTGGTTGAAAAATATAAAGTTTTATGACAAGCAGGACTAGAACTTAGTAATAGATAAATGTAAACATACTCACCTTTTATTATGATAAGAAAAGGAAAGAGGTTTAAATAGTCAGTTAATTGTCAACGGAAAAATATTGCAAAATAACGATTTTGTAAGGGACAAAAACGAGTTAATATGAGAAAATTGTTCAAATATTTAAACAAATTGAAGAATTAGGAGGTTACAAGAGAATGAAAACAATGCATGCATAATACTGATGAATAAAAACAAAATTGTTATATTTTTGCCAGATTGGGCCACCAGCATGAACAATAACTGTGAGCATTGTTTTACCATGGACCCTACTACCATAGTTCTACCTATCTAAAGTGTGTGTGCAAGGGGGGGGGGGGTATGTAGTGTGTAATTGCCATGCCTAGGCCTATCCTGGTCTTGCGCTAGTAGCGCCCGGGAGTAGTGCTTTGCTGAAAACAAAATGCGTTCTAAACATTAATTTTCAACCTCTCTTTTCTCCTCTTTTTATTCCACAAATTATGTGTTTTCTGTGAGGGATCAAATTTGCAAATAATCATCCTTATATTTTGCACAAAACTTTAAAATGAAATGAAAGAGAAGAAGCATTTTTTGTTATTTTTGGAATAAATTTGAATAATAATTAATCAATGGAGCGAAATCTCAAAATTCTGTGTAGAATTTTAGTAAACCAATTTTACCTCTACCAGATAAAGCAAACCAAATCAAAATCGGTCAAGAAATGAGGGAGAAGAAGCATTTTTTGTTATTTTTGGAATAAATTTGCATAAATTACCATAATTAATTAATGGAGAACAATTTCAGAATTATGTGTAGAAGTTTAGTGTACCAAAGTTAGCTCTACGATATAAGGCAAACCAAATCAAAATCGGTCGAAATATGAAGGAAAAGAAGCAGTTTTTTGTGATTTTAAAATTATTTTTGGAATAAATTTGCATAAATTACCATAATTAATCAATGGAGCAAAATATCAAAATTCTTTGTAGAAGTTTAGTGTTCCAAATTTAGCTCTACCCGATAAAGCAAACCAAATCAAAATCGGTCGAAAAAAGAAGGAGAAGAAGCATTTTTTTTCCCGAATAAATTTCCATAAATTAGCATAGATAATGAATTTCACGCTTCTGTGTAGAAGTTTTAAATCCCCCTCCTAGCCCTATAATATGAAACAATCAGAATCAAAATCGGTTGAAAAATAACGAAGAAGAAGCATTTTTGAAAACTGTGGATGGACGGACGGACGACGGACGCCACGCCGTGGCATAAGCTCATCGGGCCCTTCGGGCCGGATGAGCTAAAAACTTAACCTGAGGTTAAGTTTTCGATGATGATGCCACAACATAGTCCAAGTCTGTTGACCTGAAATGACCTTGACTTTGTGACCTAAAATTCTACTCACATGATTGGAAATACTTGATTACCCTTTGGTCTAAGTTTCATTGAAGAAGAACTTATACTTTCAAAATTATACTAAAATATCAAAAACAAAACCTCAGGATAAGTTTTTGATGTTGACGCCGTCGCTGCCGCCACCACCGCCGCGGCGCGCCGCCGTCACCGGAAAGCCGCGCCTATGTCTCGCTCTTTGCTATGCAGGCGAGACAAAAATTAATATACCTAGAAATGCACATAATTATGCTAGTAGACATCCATTTCCACCCTTTAGCAGGGCACATGATGGGACAATATCATCTGTTCAGAGCACGAAGGGCAATTTTACGACAGTAAAAGCATATGAGTTAACACCCTTCTGGCTCTAATATGCATCCAGGCCAAACCAGTTTCGTGCAGTCTGCAACTTGTTATCGATACAAAAAATAAAGATATCAAAGGTCTGTTTTTATACTGTTTACGGAGTCTACTTTTAAACATTATGTTTACTTATCGAGTTTTGGGATTGTTTACTTATCGAGTTTTGAGACTGTTTACTGAAGCAACTTATGTACATTTGCTCTATACCTAGGGTACAAGCGCATAGCCAGGATTTTATTTTAGGGGGCGGTAGTGAGCACGCGAAGCGCGCTTCCTAGGTGAAGGGTCTGTAGTGAAGATATAATCAGTCTGCGTGGATTCTACGCAAGCCTACTGTATATCTACATCACCATGCAAGCCGATACTTATAAGTAGCAAGATATAAAATGTTTGATTATAAGTCATATTAAGCCTAATGTGATGTGAAACCTATATCTAAACAATATCCAGACATAACAGAATGATATTTTTAGAGTATTTTCACTTACAAAAATAGAATATTTACATTTTAATAAAGATGTACAAATTAATGATACATGCATAACATATATAAAACTAATGTGATGTAATTTCCCAACAGTCAAGTCTCTTATATCAACCATTCATCATATTTATACAAAATATTGCATTTCAAATAGCTATTTTACGGAATGAACAGATGACCTTCTATGTTTTTCCGCAACTAGCTTTATATAATATTCAATATTTCATCAATTTGATGAATGATTGATAGGAAACCAAAATGTTGTAAAAGTACCTCTTAGAAATAATATATATGTATATCATATCGTTAATTTTTAGACTTTCCTTAATATGTCTATGATGTTCTTGATTCAAAATACTAATTTTTGTTTGGAAATGTCAATTACAGGAAGATCTGTTGTAAATCAATTACAGGAAGATCTGTTGTAAATAGTTGTATCTGTTAAGACCACAACACGTAAAGACAGCACATGCATTGAGAGAGGCAAGCGCACCCCCCCCCAAAAAAAAAAAGACGGACAAGAAGAAGAAAAAATAAAGATAAAAAATTGACCTTCTTTGTTGGTCAAGGGGAGGGGGGGGGGGGTATCATATCGGCCGGCACGATTTTGAATTTTCCTGGGCCAAAAAAGAAAACAAGAGTAGTGCCCACTATCCCCCCCCCCCTCTCCCACCCCCCCCCCCCCCCCCCCCCCCCCCCACTGAGCGAAATATCGGCCGGCACGATTTTCAAATTGATTTCAAATTTGGGCCTCCCCCCTAAGAAATCCTGGATCTGCGCCTGGATAGAGGAATGTTACTTACTCTATTGAGCTGGCCAGAATGTTTTTCTAGAACACTGCTCACATCAGATGGGTTGTTGGTTGAGTAAGAGTTGGCAATCTCTTGGTACAGCTGGCTCAGTAGCTGTGGAAAAAAGGGTACAAGGTACACGCATGTACAGTACCTGAACTGCCAATAAACTCAATATATTGTTTGTGTACCGGCATTTCAATATTCTAATGTCTTATCAAGCAATCAACTTTTATACAGAGTCAACATGACACTCCTACGTGTGCTGACTCCCTCTGCAATACACATTCCTGGCATCAACCGCTTCACATGATTGCACCGTAATACATGTAGTCTTCTACAAGTTTGGAGGACATAAAATGAATTATTTGGATGGCAGTTTGGCAACGTTTGAAGTATACAGGTATGTTTTTGTAATACTTATTCCTATCAGTTATCACGCCCATTTACTTAATATAAATACAGATTTAAGTTAAAAGAATTATCATAAATGTACCTCCATATGTCTTTTTTTAATTTAATTTTTTTAAATCCTGCACAGAACGATTATAGTGTCATACATTGCCCTGTTTAATACTGAACAGTTACCAAACTCGCTATGAAGAAAACTGGCAAATGATTACATGAGTTAAGAACTGAGGAACATTGTTAGCCCACTACAGTATATCAGTTCCTTTGGATATTATTTTTTCACATGTTGTCTGATAGATACTGTTGCCCTCATGCCTTTACACAGGCTATATCGATGCCCATGATACTGCATGAATGCACCTTAATTAACAGTATGTTCTTTATAAAATATTCCATATGTTGATTCGTAAAGACTTATTATTGAAATTAGATTTTACATAAAATTATCTCTTTTTCTGTTTCCAAAAGAAAAATAATTTAATCCTATATTTAATAGTGGATACGCATGTACTGAGTGTCAATTAGTAACGCCATGTAAATTGAGTAAAGGCATGAGGAGTCACTCTCCAACGAAAGGAGGGAAATGTATACCAAAATATCTTATTGAATAGCCAGGGAATGCATTGCGAACCAATAATTGACATTTATTATTATGTTATAACAATCAGTGGTATTCATGATTGTGAACTAACTAAAAGTGTAAATCTTCTGCACAGATGATGGTGTTAACAGATTTACTCCGTTTTCCTCTACATACCGGTAATTACAATATCAGTCTTTATAATGAATCAAAATAGACTTAAAATGTTATATCATGGTATGAAATTCCTTATACATGCTTCTTTACTAAATTCTTATATAGGTTTGAGGCTCAAGAATCCAGCAGAAGCATAGAATCAAAGTACGGATGGACTTAACTGTGAATTAAGAGAAATCCACCTCATCTTTCCATCAAGTAACTGTGATTTCACACGAAACTAAGAACACTGCACATTAAGAAACATTGTTGGCATGTCAACCGGACTTCATTGTGATAAACGTGCATGAGCATACAGCCAAAGCCAGTGCCTCCTAGCAGTGAAAGCACCCTACATGTACATGGAAAAGTGTATCATAGACAACGTAGTAGATTTCATGGTATAACTTTGAACATACAGTCAAGCTGAAAAAAGGGGAACTTTCTCAACGAAGATATATTCTGAAAGGAGGTTGCATTGGAGCGTACATATGTTTGAATGTCAATAAACAGTGGCAATACTTTTTATTGGACCTGACTGATTTCCACCGTCTTGCTGAACATAAAGTTCTGGATAGTTGTTCACATCTTTGCCAGCAAGTACATAATTTCCTATTAAGGAATTTATATTGATTGATCTTCCTTTCAAAATCTGTACAAAATTTGATATTATTGTAGTCTTTAGAAGGAATAAGTCAAAATGAATTTTCCAGTCATTTTTATTTTTATTGCAATTGCCATGTGTAATGTGTGTAAATCTGAAGATGAATTCAAAACTGTTATAGAAGGGGATGACGTACAATTTGATTTCCCATATCCATGTAACAGTACAAGAGTTACACTACAGTACGGAATTAGAATGCCTTTTTACACTTTAGCAGATACAGAATCTATCGTTTTACCATCTGTACAAGTACACAGATTCACTTTCAAGAATGAAAGTGAACATGATCATTGTTCACTGCATGTAAGAATCAACCCTGTAATGAGAACTGATTCAGGAACATACATTTTTTTTGCCTATAGTGAGGATGGTATATATGAAAGTTCATTTAAAAGAATTGGATTGGATGTTGAATTCCTGCCCGGGAAGGCATCATGTACACTGAATGAAGAGAGCACGAATGTGAATTGGGTAGCACTGAATTGTATGGCTCCAGTTGGGAGTCTATCAGGTCAAATTGATTGCTATCAAAATGGAGAGAAGATGCCTCCAATTACATCCCCTACTGAAACCCATAAACATTTGAAGCAAAGCATACATGTAAATAAAAAACACCGGGTGTTCTGCTGTACTTCTCCCTGGGACCACAGTATAGATAGGTGTGATTGTAATGATTTTCAATGGGACCTAGCCAATGACAACAATCTTAGCTCAATCATAGATCCGTGTGGTCCAACCACATCAGCGCAGGATCTAATAGAGACCAGTGATACTGCGTTCACTTTCTTAAAACCAGTATCCACAATAGCAACAACTATCAAGATCAATTCACTCAATGGTTCAGTGCCATGGAAATATGTGGTTCTGTGTCTTGGTTCTATTCTGCTAGTAGCTGGTTTAGTTAGTCTTGTGATTGCAGAGCTCAGAGCAAGAAATTCAAGAAAGAAATCTCCAAGATATACATGTAAATTTAGATCAGGTCAGGATCAAAGACTATATGTAACATATGAACGTATGTCCAATACGCGTGTACACATAAATTAATCATTCTGCAAATATTGCATGCTCCGGCGTTCAATTGAAACAAATTATATACCTCACTTAAGAAATCCAGCCATCTGATTGGTCGAAATTGCATTCATAAACTTTAACTGTTCCTGTAAAATTCCCGGTAACCATGGTTAAAACAGTTCAAAATCCCAATAACCATGGTTATTGGGAAAATAGGTCAGTCTCCATGGTTACCCCATAGGTTTACATGTTAAAAAATGGTTTGAGCGATCGAGGATACCGTACGTGTGCGAAGAATTGGTCGGTATTTTCATACAAGACAAGACAATTCCAAACAAGACAAAAATGGCTCAATAATCTCTCTCAAGATTTCAACTTATCAAATGCAAGACTCGCTGACAGCAAGAACAACAAAAGGGTACATGAAATTATCCATAAACATGTTCGTTTAGTTGCTGAAAAAGCATAGATGTGAGACTCTAGACGAAAATAGATCTATAGTTGTCAGGGTGTCTGATCGCGCACCCGATGCATGTTGTGTGTTAAAATTATTCACATCGAGATTGTACGCAATGCAGTCTACGTGCAGTCTACGTGCATTCCGCGACCATGCAAAAAAGGTCAAGTTTTTTTTTCAATTCGAGATTCAAACCTTTATAATCTGTTGTGATCCTGAAGGTGATACTCAATATTAAAGTGAGGTGTCATATGAGAGCGCAGGTTCTTCTCCATATTCCCCACAGGCCCGGTCCACCCCCAAAATTGTAAAAATATCTTGCTTAGACTAGAATCTAGATCTAGTCTACTCTCAAAGATACGAAAATAGATCTTGTTGTCAGGGTGTCCGATCGCGCACCCGATGCATGTTGTGTGTTAAAATTATTCCCATAGAGATTGTACGCAATGCAGTCTACGTGCATTCTACGTGCATTACGCGACCATGCAAAAAAGGTCAAGTTTTTTTTTCAATTCGAGATTCAAACCTTTATAATCTGTTGTGATCCTGAAGGTGATACTCAATAAGTGAGGTGTCATATGAAAGCACAGATTCTTCTCCATATTCTCCACAGGGCCGGCCCACCCCCAAAATTGTAAAAATATCTTGCTTAGACTAGAATCTAGATCTAGTCTACTCTCAAAGATACACTCATAAAAAAACAACCGTCCAGATAAACTAGAGAAAGGCCAAGGTGGTGATATTAGTTGACTCTTTTGTTTTCGGCATATGAAAGTATTAATGACTGCTTTAATATTCGAGAAAAAGTTGTTTTTATACGCTCTCGGGAAGGTTACAATTGGGCTATTGCCCTCGGCACGCCTCGGGCAATAGCACAATTCTAACCTTCCCTTGAGCGTATAAAAACAACTATTTCTCTCAAAGCAGTCATTAATACTATACTATGAACCGACAAAGTCAGAAATTTCAAAGTGATGTAATATATCACAAAGGCAACAGGCCCAGATTGAATTTGTAATTCTGCATTGCATTCATATGGTTCTAGGACACCTACCCCTGGACATCCACCCCCAGTCAACTACCCCATGGACAACTACTCTGTAGGTCCACTACCCCCTAGGGCAACCACCCTCTAGTACGACTACCCCCAGACATTTTATGTATTTTTATGATGTTCTTTAATATGATAGAAATGTTGAATTTGGAGGTGTAGATATTGTATATCGACCTGTACTCAACATTACATGAATCTATGTAGGTGACCAATGACCTTCAAAACTAAAACCTTTAAAATCTTTACATGGTCATACATACTCTAAATAAGTTTAACAATGTTAACTCAATTATTCTTAAGGTATCACGTTCATAAGAATAATTACGGACGGACGGATGGACAACATAAAAACATAATGCCTCCGGTACTCACCACGTGTGGCGGAGGCATAAGGCCTAAAAAAGATAACATGACATCTGTAGCTTATTTAGGTATCAGACGTGCATTGGTGTTACCATTTCTTTGTTTCAATTTTTTTAAATCTAATTAGATTTCATGTCATAGAATTCAAAGTGTTTGAGAAAATATTACCATAAGTTTTATTAATAAAAGGCTATTCATTTCATGTCCTTGGGAGAATTAGAGAGATGCCATCATATTTCCCCTCTGATCCATCCCCATTTTTCTTTCTATTATGGCTTTTTGAATGCGTCATCATACCGACAAACTATTACAAAAATATGGATCTGGAAGTTTAACCACATCCTGTATGGTTGCTTCTAGCAGCAGTGTGTCATTGTATATAGTTGAGCAAGTACATGTAAAAAAAACTGAATTGCTCACGACTGAGATTATGATACTTTCTTCAATGCTTGTTTTGTTTTGTAGAATAAAGAAGTTGCCAGCAATACTTTTATCAATGTTTGTTTTGTTTTGTAGAATAAATGAATTGCCAGCAATAGTTTCTTCAATGTTTGTTTAGTTTTGTAGAATAAATGAATTGCCAACAATACTTTCTTCAATGTTTGTTTGGTTTTGTAGAATAAATGAATTGCCAGCAATACTTTCTTCAATGTTTGTTTGGTTTTGTAGAATAAATAAATTGCCAACAATACTTTCTTCAATGTTTGTTTGGTTTTGTAGAATAATTGAATTGCCAACAATAATTTCTTCAATGTTTGTTTGGTATTGTAGAATAAATATATTGCCAACAATACTTCTTCATTGCT